CGGCAGCACCATGCAGGCGGCGGCGGCGTCCGTGCCCATCTTGCTGCTCTGCGCCCTGGGGACCTGCCCCTTGGTGCGCGGCGGCCGGGCAGGTAAGTTCGCCACCCTCTGTGGCTTAGGGACGTACCATTTGCCGGGCATCTCTACAGCCCTCCGGCGCATTGCAAAGGGGCATCCCCATTTTCCGAGTGCGCGGGGAGATTTTTTTTTATTTGGAAAAGTGGAGCAAAAATACGTGTGGGGGCGCGCGGATGCATTAGAAGCCTTTGGTCAAATGTCTGTTTTTCTTTTGAAGAAGAGGCATGCGGCGGATGGGGAAGGGGTTCTCTGCTTCTGGGCCCCTATCCTGGATGCGCTCAGAGGAGCGGGTCCCAGGCTCTCCGATTGGTGCCTGCGTCCTTCCCAGCTGGGGTCCGGGAGGGACGGGGAGGTGGAATGTTCAGAGGGAAGGGGTCGGGCCGCAGGACCGACGATTGTGAGTCAGGGTCATTATTTTCGCATTTTCTTCCTATTCCCTCCTTCTCCCCTTCCTGCCTGGAGGAGACGCCTCGTTGACTGAGCTGGAGAGGAGGAACGAAAACGGCTTCCTGGAGCGCCAGAGCATCGTGCCACTCCGGCTCCTCTATCGCGCTGGCGACGAAGACGAAACAGGACACGACAAGCTTACCACGCGGGTGCGGGGCGACCCCCGCGGCGCTCAGGTGAGAGGCGCGGTCCCGGGAGGGTGGTCCTCTGCGCTGCCCAGCCCACCCGCGACTCCGCGTTTGCTCTCGGTTGCCCTGGAGATGCGGTGTCTTAGGTGAAATGAGCGCCTAAGTAGAAATCCTACTAGTCCAGTAGGACGCTCCCTGCTTAAAAAAATGAAAATAAAAATAAAAATCGGAAAGGGGGGACAAAATCCCCCGAACAACCCCAGGCCAGGGCCTGTGTGTAAGAGGAGTTTGTGCAGTTTGCCTCCAGCAGTGCGGCTACTGAGCGAAAGGGCGGAGACCTTCTCTCCTCTCAAGGAAAAGCAAAAGGCCATGCATGGGCAAGAAGGGATATGATATTTGGGCAGGATTTGCATCATTATTATTGTGGTGGTTGTTTTAATGCTAAGAGAAGACTTATAAGTGATATAAACCACAACTGGTGCTGTAGAAAATTGGAGAAACAAACCTAGACATCCCTAACTAAACTCAAACCATAAAAATAACCTAAACTGAAGGGTTCTCCTCTCGCTCAATATGTGGACCCCAGAGATGTGTCCAATCACCTCCACTTTCTAGAAAAGGCGTCCCCCTCCCCGCTTTCTTCGTTGGTAGAAGCCTTGTTGGTGTAATTAGGGCTATGGTATTTATTGGGCACTTGTAAATTATGATTTTAAAAAATCAAAGTTTACCAGTTACCTGCATTTGGATTAATATTACACGTCTACAGGTATGCCTGAAAATTATTTTGCACTTTCTGGTGAATTTCAGTAAATATCTGGGGCTCTGTAAACATTTTTTGAATTCATATACATCATTCTGGCAACCAGTTCACCTACCTGTAAATGCATATTAAGACAGAACTTGTTCACGTAGTTGAAATTTTGTAAACTTAACTGAAGCAAACTTACAATTTGTATGTGTAAAATATGTAAAAATAGAAAAATACCATTTAAATTGGTATTTGTAGCCAAATGTTAAAATTTTAATATAACCGAGGAATTAATTTAAAGGGCTACAATAAGTTATCAAAGTTAGATTATTGTAGTAAAAAATCTAATATGCCAAGCCTTTAATGAAAGATTCCATGATTTGAATTAATATTTGTTAAATGCCCATTTTTCTTTTTCATTTTAACTTGTTTCCATAGTAAAACTGAAGAAGCAGAGGGCACTGTCTTATTTTTCAATAAGTTAGAATTATTGTTGTGGAGGAATAAATTTTAAACACACACAGAAGTAGAATATTGTAATGAACCCCGCTTTGACAATTAGCAACTTAATTACCAATTAATTCAATTGTCAATCTTCTTTTACCTATATCCTACCTATTTTCTTCCCCTTCTTGTATTATTTTGAAGCATATGATATCATTTCATTTATTAAAAGTTCACTCAGCATTTCTAAAAGATAAGGATTCTTTAAAAAATGTAACCATATAATATCTAACATAGACATATATTAAATATGTAAATATGTTAAAATGTATATAAATATATTAAGTAAATATACTGTATATACACATAATACAAACATATTTATGTTTGTTTGTTTGATCCAAAACCCAAATAATGTCTTTCGACTGCAATTAGTGTGTTTTGTTTTGAAGTTTCCCCTCTACTTTTTTGGTTTGTTTTTCCTTGCAATATATTCACTGAAGACCTGGGGTCTTTCATCCTGCAGAGTTTCCTACAATGTGAATTTTTGCTGATAGAGCCAGTGCTTTAATACAAATCACAAAGCCTTTCTCAGAGAGCAAGGGAGACAGAAGGAAGCAGAGAAGCAGATAAAGAGAAGTGCAGGACTGAACCTGGAAGTGCTGTCGCTGCCGCAGGCTGGTACTGTCCACAGAACCTCTGCCCTTCTCTGTGTTGGTGAAAGACCAGCACTTGGGAAAACAGGCCAGTCCTCCTCCTTTGCTTCCCGTTTATGGAGCTCGACTTCTGCAGGGGTTTTTTTTGTTCCTAGGCCTCTCCACTTGGGGCAGAAGATACCTTGAGCCCCTGCAGTTTCTGCTTTCTACAGCAATAAACCTCACAACTGAAAAGAATGACTCTGCCTTCGGTGAGGGGTGAATGAATTGGTAGGATTTAGGTTAAACGCACGAATAGGTTACTAATTCAAGTCAGCAATGAAAGTGAAGATACTGTCTTGTCATCAAAGTAATTATCACAGGAAATCATCTCAGTGCCTGGCACGTAGTAAAGTATACACAGCACATCTGGCTGGATGTCTGGATCACCTGGGGAGCCCATGCAGCTTTCCGTGCTCCTTAAACTCTAGTTAGAAATCACTGATACGAGGACTGAATTGGGCAGAGTTGTGAAGACCTACTTGCCATATGCCAACTTTTCCGGCAGTTAGGGAACTAAGGAGTTTTCTTGCATTGTGGCATTTCTAGTTTCCTAAGAGCTGTAATTTGACCTGAAAACATAAGGTGATTGTATGTGGCCCTTGGTATTTCTTTGGTAATTAAATAGATATAATTTATGGAATCTTAGCTACGCTTAGATATTTTTTAGCAACTTCCTTTCTACTTTAGAAATAAAATTAGGATGATTTTCTGTTAGCTCACAAAACACATATTCATTTGTTGATTTGTTGATTTAAAGGCATTTATTTACTTGAGCCTCTTCTGTGTACCAACTTCTGTGCAAGGCCCTGGGAATTTAAAGAGAAAAGAGCCCAGCCAGTGTGGTTCAGTGGTTGAGCATTGACCCGTGAACCAAGAAGTCACTGGTTCGATTCCTGGTTAGGGCACATAGGATTCCTCCTGTGGGCTTCATCCCCAGTAGGAGGCGTGCAGGAGGCAGCATATCAATGTTTCTCTCATCCATGTTTCTTCCTCTCTCTCTAAAAAAATCAATAAAAACATATTAAAGAGAAAAGGCACATTTTTCACCTTTAAGGGATTTAGAGACAAATGGGAAAATGGATGAGTAAATAGCAGTTACATTCTGCCCTTCTGTGTGTGATTTTCTGGAGGTGGTCCCAGAAAACTGGAAGCAGAGAAGACCTATTATTTAACCCAGGGAACAGTCAGGATGGACTTTTTGGGGGAGGTGCAGTGTGAGCTCTGTTTTGAGAGTAGGAATTGGCCAGATTAAAGGGAAGGGTCAGGAACATGAAACCCAAGGGGCAGCAAGTACATAGGCACATGGAGTCAGGACACATTTTTAAAAATATATATATTTTATTGATTTTTCACAGGGAGGAAGGGAGAGGGATAGAGAGTTAAGAAACATCGATGAGAGAGAAACATTGATCTGCTGCCTCCTGAACATCCCCTACTGGGAATGGGGCGCACAACCAAGGAACATGCCCTTGACCAGAATCGAACCTGGGACCCTTCAGTCCCCAGGCCGACGCTCTATCCACTGAGCCAAACCGGTCAGGGCAGGACACGTTTTTGTTAACCGCAAATAGTTCAGATTTAAGGGACAGATGAGACAAACCAGGAAAGCAGAGAGATGCTGCGGCACCTTCATGATTTGCTGAAGAGTTTGGACTTGGTCCTAAAGACAATCTAAGATTTTCATAGGGAGAGTTAATTGACCAGATTTGTGTTATCATGGGATAATCTTAATTGTTAGAAATGAATAGTTTTAATTTCAAAGAGTCAGTGAATGGGTTTATTTACTTTAATTAATAGGTAAATGCCAATTCACATACTCATTAAGCTTCACAGAAAGTTAGTTTCCAAGTAGACTGAAAATACTGTAGAAATGAATTAATATTTACAAAGCACTTAGAACAATGTTGGGCATGTTGTAAATACTGTGAGTTTTTGTTAAATAACAAACTCCCTCAGGCTTCTTGAGTACTATTTAGTTTTGTGACATCACTTTAATGCAAAAATGATGTCCTAATCACCTAAGTTTAACACATTCCCAGGAGTAATTTACAAATTACTCAAATTTACATAACCAAGTGGAATCTAACAGTGCTAGAGATGGAAGAGACCTTAAAGGTCATCTCCAGTAAGTCAGGAGTTATCTCTCACCAGATAAGATCAAGCCATTGACCCAGAGTAAGGAAACAAGCCATGTATTAAATTTCAGAAGGCTCACAGAACTGTGATAGTATAACACACCTCAATTTTACTCCTAATGTGTCCTTTTTTCAGTTTTTATCACTAAATGGAGCAGAACACATATTTTGGGGAGAAATTTACATTTTAGTTCTGTGGAAATACTGGCAATTTTGTGTGAAATAATAATTCTGTTGGTATGAGTCCATATTGCAAAATATTTCTTTATTACATGGGCAGTTACTTGAATGCATGTTTATTTTTATCCCAAGTGGGATGATACCAAAAGCTTATTATGCCATAAAGTCCTGGAAATGATAGTCAATGACATATTTGCTGTGGGTAACCTTGCTTTCCTCCAGGTTGTCTACCTCGTCTGAAGTAATTTCAGTCTTGTAAAATAACACTCAACTATAATACTCAGAATGCTCAGTGTCTTGTCTTCTCACTTGAAATTATTTGTGCTGAAGGAATTGTATGTTTGCAGATAAAAGAACAGAACATACTTTTAATGGGACATCCCTATGAGCAAGATATCACCTACTGAGTCTTACTGATGATTTGATACTGATAATCATGATATTGTTATTTTTAAGATTAAGCCCCTTACTGGTTACTCCTTGTTTGCTAGCCATGTGTGACAGATTTCTGTGGCATCAAAGAAAGGTTACTTGGTGATTTATTTTGTTGTGTGGTCACCCTATAAATTTTCAATAATTCGTTTTTCACCCAGTCATTGCATGTCTCTGCAAATAGCAGAATTTCTTTTTGTCAGAAGACTTTGTTGTTAGCAAATAGATGGACTACTTATTTCTCTGTCTCTTTCCCTGGAAAGTGTTGTAGCTTCTCAAGTAGTCGGTCAGGTGCCAAGAACATAGACCTACAGTTTGTCATCGTTTTGATAATCAGTAACGAATGGGGAAAGTGCAAGGTGGCAGCAAGATGGCAAGCAGTAGGAGTGCTCCCTTTTTATGATTTTATTT